TTAAAAAGCTTATAAACATACATTTTTTAATTTGACAGATGAAAAAGATGCCATTACAAAAGGTAAAAAGAAAATACCCCTGTAAGTCACTTTGAGTGAAATGTCACCTCGTATTAGGAAGGCTAATTTTGGATCAGAATTTTTTAATATTGATCAGAAGGTGCTTCTAAATTTTTTAAATTAGGAGGACAAAATTAGGCATTTGAATGAGTGCTCGCTGTTCACTTTTGATTTCGCACACTCTGTGTAGAGCACATCTTCGCATTTGAATAAGCGCTTGCTGTTCAATTTCACTTTCGATTTCGCGATATAGCGGCGCTCTGTGTAAAGGGAGCACATCTTACAGTGTGTGCATAATTATTAGGCACGTTGATATTCTGATCATATTTTTTTCCAAGCACATTTGACCAATTCCAAACCACATCAATCTTAATAACTACTATTATTTTTGTATTTAATCATTTAGAAGTGATATATAATTGTCCATGAAGGCTGGAAATGAAAAACTCCTTATTAAGGTGTGCAGAATTATTAGGCTAGTTTTCTTTTACGGATGAAATGAGCCAAAAAAAAAAAAAGAGAGAGATTTAACTCAGACTGAGAAGTCAAAAATGATTAAATCCCCATGAGAAATATTAAAAACTAATGCAATACAGAAATGTCAAAGTTAAGGCATTACCATTGGTCAGCAAAATGCTCATTGGGTCAGCGGGGTCAGATCAGCAAAATGCTCATTGGGTCAGCGGGGTCAGAAAAAAACAGGTGGAGAAGAAAAGATGCATGTTAACTGCAAAAGAATTAAGAATTAATGTGAAGAATTAAGTGTGAAACCATCAGGAACCTTTTAGTCTCCACTGCCACTATTTTCCAGAACTGCAACCTTGAGTCTCCAGAAGTACAAGGTGTCAGGTTCTCAGAGACTTTGCTTGGGTAAAGAATCCTAAACAATGACCCCTACTAAATAAGAAGTTAAACGCAAAATTTAAATATCTAAATATAAAATATCTAAAACAAATAAATTGTTATTCATCTATTGCACAAAAGCAACATGAACTAATATAAAATATAAACGATTAACAGGTGCAAGCGTATGCAGAGTTTCTATTTAGGCTATAACACGTGTTTGCAGCGTTGAGGAATGCAGTGCTGACATTTGCGTGCTCACGAATCCTCTCATTATAACACACGAATTGTAGACAATTGTAGACATCCATTCTGGAACAGCAGCAGTGCTCCTCTTTTTCCTCCATTTCAGGTTCTTCGTCTTTTGGAAGGGTGGGCACAGGGCAGCTCTAACTTCTTCTTGATCTAATAAAACATAATCAAACATACATTTATATAACATGTAGGAAGCTATGGATGATTCGATTTCTAGACCTCTTCTTTTACCTAACCCATGTCTCTTTTACCCCACCACTCTGTACTTTTTTACCACTCATGAACACACACACACACACACACAATCACGAACACACGCACACTCACACAAAAACAAACACGCACACTCACACAAACACACACACTCACTCACACACACTCACACACACTCGCACACACACTCATGAACACTCACACAAACACACACTCACGAACACACACACACACACACACATACACTCATGAACACACACATTCACGAACACGCGCACACACACTCACGAACACACACACATACACTCATGAACACACATACTCACGAACACACAAACTCACGAATACACACACTCATGAACACACACACACACTCACACAAACACTCACACACACACACACACACACACACTCAATATTCTCTATAACAATAGACAGCCTTTCTGTACCTCTCCTGTTGCTGGCACGATTCCCTCTTCAGCCTCAAACTGCAGCTCTTCATCTGCTGAAAAGATTTAAAAAATATTCAAAACAATACAGTGTTTGTGTTAACAGACAAAATACAGTAGGTCCAATAAATATTATAATTAATAAATAACAAGTCTAACTCATCCAGATGCATCAGAATAATGTAGCTAACACTGTTTACTAGACTATACCTGTCCTGTCTGCCTCTGAGCTAACTTACCTGAAATGTCTCCATCACTGCTGTCATCAACTGTCCAATCTACATCATTCTCATGGTCACTAAATCCTATCTCATCCTCACTTTCATCTGCAGGAAGAGCCAGTTCTGTCCTTTTCTTCTTTACCTTGCTATAGAATATGGCTGAGCTCACTGACAAACTGTTACCTGTATTCATATCTAATCAAAAGTAATATTGCCATTTAAATTAGATTTGATCCATAATACAAATACCATTAACATACGACTAATCAACATTATATCACTAGTGTTAATGTTGTTATTGTTACAGCTTAAAAGATCACTCCTGACCCTGCTAGCTAGCTAAACTATTGCAATAATGTCATTCCACTATTGCACAGTGTTGCTGCTTGGCAACACATACATTTGAATGATTTACCAAAAACTTATTTCATAAAAACATTTTTGAGTGGTGAATATGTCATCATAACTTACCGGAGGTGATGTTTCCGATTTTTTTGTGGATGTGACACGGGCTGATCCTTGTTTGATAATTACATTTTTGATATCTTTCAGAAACTATTGACAAGAGACGGTTTTAGTTTGCTTTCAGCAACTACCGGCAAGAGACGGCAGTCTGTCAGAAATCTCGCCACAGAAAAAAACTGCATGTCATGTGACTTAACCAAAGCCCATCATTGGCTAAACTAAGGTCTTCTCTTTCCAACAAAAAAAACGAGAATGCTGAATTAGAGAGACACTGGCAAGGAAATGAACACAAAGAGTATGTTGCCATATGGCCACACCATGCGGTAGAGGGTTAAGCTACACCAAACGTTGGCGCCAAAAGAAAAGCATTGCATATATGAGCTTTGAATGAGTCATAGTCTTTGTGGACCAATTTTAAAACACAGTTATATGTGTTTGCTTCCGAAAATATCTTGCCAGACTCTTCTGGAAGGATTTCAGTTGTGGGCTGAAGAAGAAAGCCATTGGGAGGTATAGTAGAGGATCCAGATGCAAACTCCAGCACATTCTCCAAAGTTAAGGTGGCACATTCTACCTCTTTGAGGGAAAATTGAGTTTATTGTCGGGCATTTATATATATATATATATATAAGTGAACTTCACAAGGAATGGACTGAGGCTGGGGTCAAGGCATCAAGAGCCACCACACACAGACGTGTCAAGGAATTTGGCTACAGTTGTCGTATTCCTCTTGTTAAGCCACTCCTGAACCACAGACAACGTCAGAGGCGTCTTACCTGGGCTAAGGAGAAGAAGAACTGGACTGTTGCCCAGTGGTCCAAAGTCCTCTTTTCAGATGAGAGCAAGTTTTGTATTTCATTTGGAAACCAAGGTCCTAGAGTCTGGAGGAAGGGTGGAGAAGCTCATAGCCCAAGTTGCTTGAAGTCCAGTGTTAAGTTTCCACAGTCTGTGATGATTTGGGGTGCAATGTCATCTGCTGGTGTTGGTCCATTGTGTTTTTTGAAAACCAACGTCACTGCACCTGTTTACCAAGAAATTTTGGAGCACTTCATGCTTCTTTCTGCTGACCAGCTTTTTGAAGATGCTGATTTCATTTTCCAGCAGGATTTGGCACCTGCCCACACTGTCAAAAGCACCAAAAGTTGGTTAAATGACCATGTTGTTGGTGTGCTTGACTGGCCAGCAAACTCACCAGACCTGAACCCCAGAGAGAATCTTGTATTGTCAAGAGGAAAATGAGAAACAAGAGACCAAACAATGCAGATGAGCTGAAGGCCACTGTCAAAGAAACCTGTGCTTCCATACCACCTCAGCAGTGCCACAAACTGATCATCTCCATGCCACGCCGAATTGAGGCAGTGATTAAAGCAAAAGGAGCCCCTACCATGTATTGAGTACATGTACAGTAAATGAACATGCTTTCCAGAAGGCCAACAATTCACTAATTTTTTTTTTTTATTGGTCTTATGAAGTATTCTATTTTGTTGAGATAGTGAAGTGGTGGGTTTTTGTTAAATGTGAGCCAAAATCATCACAATTAAAAGAACCAAAGACTTAAACTACTTCAGTCTGTGTGCATTGAATTTATTTAATACACGAGTTTCACAATTTGAGTTGAATTACTGAAATAAATGAACGCTTCCACGACATTCTAATTTATTGAGATGCACCTGTACACACACACCTAGTTCTGGAAAAAATGAAGAGACTAGTAAAATGCAAATATTTTATTTATTCTACAAACTGCTGACCACGTTTCTTCCAAATAATAATAAAAAAAGTCGTTTAGAGCAAGTATTTGCATAAAAATGACAACTGGTCAAAATAAAGAAGAAAAAAAATCCAATGTTTTCAGGCCTCAAATAATGCAAAGAAAACAAGTTTATGTTCATTTGAACTCAATCACAGCTTTCATGCGTCTTAGCATGCTCGTATCAGTTGGTCACATTGCTTGTGTGTGACTTTATGCCACTCCTGGCAAAAAAAATGTAAGCAGCTTGCCTTTACTTAATGGCTCATGACCCTCTTTCCTGGAAAAAAAAAAATCAATTCTTCGAGTTGGGGGACAGATGATGGGCAAAGCTGAAAACTGGACTCATCAGAGAAGATCAGAATCAGGCAGATCTGTCTTTGTGAAGGATGCATGACGAGCCCAATCTCCAGACCTGAACCCCACTGAAAACCTCTGGAATGTAAGCAAGAGGGTCACCAGCCATTAAATAAAGCCAAGCTGCTTGAATTTTTTCACCTGGAGTGGCATACAATCATCCAACAGCAATGTGAAAGACTGGTGGAGAGCATGCCAAGACGCCAAGAAAGCTGTGTGCCTTCTCTACTTTGACCAATTTCCTCTCTGCTGCTGCTTCTGGAGATTTGCTGTCTGCTGCTGCTGCTTCTAGGGAATTCCTCACTGCTTTTAGAAATTTAATCATTGCTGCCTCTTCTATTAATATCCTGTGTGTTACCAGCACTACTTGATTCTTGCCTGGAACCCTCTCAACCTGCTTAAAAAAAAAACACACACACATGAAAAAAGCAAATGACAATAATAACTGTAGACAAAGGCAATCAATTTAAACTCTACTTATACTTTTAATATTTTTAACATTCCATTGTTTAGTTAGAAAGTTTTACATGAATCACTTGCATTTCACATTGGTCAACATGTTTCTGCATTTCAGCAACAGAATTTTTTCTTGGCAGTACAACTAGGCTATATTTGTGACCCTTGTCTTGTTTTTCCCTCTGCAAACTTTTCCAAGTATAAAAAAAGCAATTAGACATGACAAATCTTAACAGACATTACCCATACTTTATTAAGCAGTTTATCTACCTCTAAGTTTAGATCCTTCTGAAGAGGTCTGATGTAAATCATGCCAGCTCCTATGCCAAGTGTACTGTTGCTCAAGAACTCTGCCGAGTATCCTTCATCAGGACAAGGATTATCTCCAATGATTCTAAGCGGGTAGCACCTCGAGTCTTCAGAAGTTCATATCACTTCTTGTGCCTCTCATCACAGATGAAGGAGCACTCGATGATGGAGACCTGACTGATGTTGATCGTTCCAGAGCTGCAGCCGCCTCTCGCAGCAGCTGGAAATTGACTTCTCCATTACCAGATTAAATGTTACTGTACATTAAAAAGGCCCGATCTTCTTTACCATATGCCTGTGACGTCACTTCCCAATACAAACACGCCCCCCAGTTTAGTCCCACCCCTGACACTGATTGACACGTTTCCATGTAAGGCATTGGAAATTCAAATGCAAAAGGGATTGCGATTCAATTTGAGTTTTGGCAGGTTGCATGCGTGACGCAGAGAGAGTGAAAAGGCAGACGTAGTAATTAATATTGCTATTTAAATATGACAATTTTCAAAAGGAATTGCAAATTGTATTCGCAATTGCGTTTTCCATATGTAGACGCATAAATTGTGATATAATCCAAACTGATTGGAAATACAGTTGCAAATGGAGTTTGCTTTTTTTAATTTGAAATTTGGCAGTCGCTTTGCGTTTGCGAAAACGTAAACGGTAATACAAGATTTGCAATTGTGTTTGGATTATATCACAATTTATGCGTCTATATATGGAAAACGCAATTGCGAATACAATTTGCAATTCCTTTTGAAAATTGTCCGGAATATCCTTCCATACCTTTATATGAACTGTTGAGGTGTTGATGGCTCTCATGCTAATTGGTCTGTCTGGTCTTATCTGAGTTTTAATGCTGATGGGGTTTATAAGTGTTGAGAAGGCAGAGTTTGGCACAGTTGCAAATTGACAGAACCCTCATCATGGCATCCAAGGTCAAGAAACTTAAAGAAGAGGACGAACATTGTGTCATTAGGTATGTTCACAATGTTTCTGTTGTGAAAATATCGGTATTAAAGTAGAACAAGTATTTTAATGCCATAATTCAGGTTAGTCGGGAGAATTTTCACAACGTTGCCGTCTTTAGTGTGGAGAAGCGCAATTTGTTTCTGAAGGCGCAAAACTGCAGAAGTGCAGTTAGATTGACCGGCATTTCCAAACAATCTATTACGTATTTTATTGAATGTTGTCGGATTTTCTATGCATTTATTTTGCTACAAGATTTTTTTTTTTTTTTATAATCATTTAATGTTGTATTATCTCATTTTGTTAGGTCGTTCTGGTCAAGGTGTGGATATATTATGAGGAAGACAGACAGATCTGACTGTGGTCAGTGATGTGACCTTTGCTTACAGGGAGCCCCCTGCTAAGTCCAAGCGGACAGTGGAGGAGATAAAAAAATGTCAGCAAGGCAACATGTAAGTTGTTGTTTTGATATTGTTTTAATTTATAGTAAATAATATGATTTGTGTAATGATTTATTAATGTATTTGTTTGTAATATTTTGTCAGGTCGGTGAGGTCACTGAGCGTATTGTCCACTTGAGGGTTGGTACGGAGAATGTGGAGTTTCAGGGCAGACAGCTCGAAACACAGAGTGTGCTTGTGGAGGATGCCAGTGGAAAAATTAGTGTCCAACTTTGGGAATCTCAAGTGGGACTGGATTTTGTTTGATAAGACCTATAAATACACACACTTGAGCACAAGAGAGTTCAACGTAGAGCTTTTTGCTCCATTTTTCACTATTGAAGAGATTACATCTTTGCCAGGTCTTGGTCCAACTGCTGCCTGTGAAGTGAAAGAAGAGCCAGTGATTTCTGTGAGTGGTGTCATAACACGAGCGGAGGTGGCTGTGTCTCGCACCTGCGGGAGCTGCAAGGTGTTGTCAGGTGGAGTTTGAGCTGAAGATTCAGATGCGTGAAGTGCAACATGCTGCAGAATTCAGGATGTATAAGCCTAGAGCCACCGCTAATGTCAGTGAGTTTGGAGATTCTGAAGAGCTTAAACAACTTTGCCTCTAGAACCACTGCTTTCAATCAAACTGTTTGTTAAATATTTTAGATTTAAAAAGCCTACTTTTGTGCCACATTATAATTACAGCAAAACCTGAAAATGGTGTAATAAAGAGGAGACTTGCAGTAAGCATTCAGTTACCTCTCATTTATTCCAACCCAGTTTTGGCAAAAGTTCCAGTACTTGGGTACCAAGTTGATACTGAAATTGTACAAACGTAACAATAGCTTTTGTTCAGTGTGAGATCATCATTATATTATGAAAAACAACAACATCAACAAAAAGATCATTCAAAAAGGTGCCTTGGGACACCAAAAAGTTTGAGAAGCACTGAACTATAGCAAAGCAGATGGTCAAGTGAAGCCGCAGTTTACATGTTTGTATATGACAAAATTACGCAAAATTATAAAGAGGTAAAGAATGCAAATGGTCATGAAAGTGGCAAATCTGATTTGGGCCACATTCAGCTGCAGTGAGAATGTAGCCTTAATTTCATATATACTGGTAAAATTTTAAACTGCCGAGCCATTTAAAGGGGTCATGAACTTTTTTGTATTATTTTATAATGTTCTCTGAAGTTCACTTATAATGTTAGTGTGATTTTACATGGAAAAACATCAATTTAGAATAGGCTATTTTCAATCCTGTTTTCAAGCCTCTCTGCAGAACAGTCTGTTTTTATACTGTTTGATCCGCTCTAGTCAGACTCAACGCTGCGGAGGTGGGGCTTAGCCACACTATTACATCATAAAGTGGCACATTCCAAAACGAGTCGTTTTCTGAGCTTGGTTTCAATAAAAAGTTTTTTAACTAACATGAAAGTTTTGAGTTTTAAAACTTACAGGATGTTTTATAGTACACTGGCCTGTTATATGTCAAAGGATCAAGGGAAATTTGATTTCTCAGTTCATGACCCCTTTAAAACGCTTTCCACACAAAGAACACAAACATGGTCTCATCTCTGCATGACTTTGTGTGATAGCAAAACGAAATGTTTTATTACACTGATCACAATTAAATCACCTTCCTCCAGAGAGAATGCCTAGGTGATATTTGATTGCCCCTTTTCGCAATCTTCTTGCCACACTCAGAACCCCGCTATTTCTTTCCAGAATGTGTTTGCAAATGAAGTTTCAAGTCTTTTTTATATATGAATCTCCTATCACACTTAAGACATGGGAAAGGCTTCTTTCTGGTGTGAATCATCATGTGAGACTGAAGGATTGTTTTTTGACTGTAGCTCTTTCCACACTGTTTGCAGGTGTAAGGCTTCTCTTCAGTGTGAATCCTCATGTGATTCCTAAGGTTTAGTTCTGATGTGAAGCTCTTTCCACACTGATTGCATGTGTAAGTCTTCTCTCCAGGGTGAACTCTCATGTGGGCTTTAAGTTTACGTTTATGATTGAAACACTGTCCACATTGATGGCAAGTGAAATACTTCACCTTTTTTCTGGAGGAAGACGTTCCAGTCTGTATGAATTTTTCTCCAGTCATGAAATTATGTTTTTCATATTGATCTTTCGGTTCTACTTCATTCAGTTCTTGACTCTCCTCTTTCAAAGACATCAGATCTAAAGCAAAAACAAACAAAACAAAAAGATAAATACAAGTTAACACCAGTTTACAGGCACAAAACAACTGACATCAAAACAAAAAAAGCATCAAAACCAACATAATGCATCAAAACTGGGTTATTACAGACCAATCCTGCCACTCGTGTCTAAAATATATATTTTTTAAAAGTGTTCTCTTCACTATAAAATGGTATTTGTCAACAATTTCAGTCAGGATTTAAGCCCCATTGCTTATTACAGCTATACATGACCTGCTTTTGGCACCTAATCATGAAAGGCCAAAGTATACTTTGATTTTTATCTCATAACTCTCTCACAAAAGCACTGGTCAACGCGACCGTCTGTTGTTGTCGCAGTCTCTGCTATTTTGTTGTCGTTCCATCTCTTTAGTTTAGTTTCGGGCCAGTGCTGCCACCTTGTGGAACAACTAGTAAGTGCAAAACCAAGTCAATGCGCGTATGCAACCTGTGCATATAAAGTACGCACAGTTAAAAAAATCAGATGGTGCTTGTACAGAAATTGGCACACGTAAAAACCAAAGTAGATTTTGGCCTATAAACCACAACATTCTTTCGGATAGCTTGAGAATTATGTTAGCATTTGTGGACAAACATTAGCATAGTTTAGGTCCAATCTATCAGACCGACTGGAAGCCTGTGAACAGTGATTTGCAAGTGAAAACAACCGTTTAAAGAACAGTGAAATGGATTGAGCGGATTGGTGAAAGAACAGCAGGGATTGTGACCAGTGCTCTATTCCAACCTCAGCAAAAATGACAGCGCACTGCTCCGGGTGCGTGTTCACTCATATGACTTTCTGAAAAATATCACTCATTCCTGTAGAGCTGAACATTTTAATAAGGATCACATGAGTGAGTTCAGCTTTGAGAATGAAAACTAACCTGTTTGTTCCTCAGTATCTTCATGTTTGACTCTGAATGTTTCTTCAATCTTCATTTCTTCTCTTGAATGCCTCTTCAATCTTCATTTCTTCACGCTCCTCTTTAATAAACGCCATTTCTGTTTGTTCCTCAGTATATTCTTGTTTCACTTTGAATGCTTCTTCAATCTTAATTTCTTCACTCTCCACTTTAATAAACGCCATCTTTATAATAGTGTGGCACGTGGATGACCTGATTAGACAAGAAAAAAGAACACTCAAAATAGAGCTGTGCGATATTGAAAACAAATGCTATACGCGATACCTTGTTCAAAACTGCGATATTCGATACGATATTGCTTAAAGTGTGAAAAATATTTAAAATGAAAATTATATAACCAATTTGTTTGACATTCTTTCTTGGAAAAGAAAGAATCACTACAACTTCTGAAAGTGACCAGCAGTGTTTTAGCAGTACATAAAAAGTAATGTCACAAATCAGAAAATGTAATTTTAACATCAATGTGAATGACAAAAAAAT